ATTCGGAATAGTTAATCTCTACTACTACTTCTTCTTCTCCATTTTTTTTATAGATCAATTATATTAATAGGGGAAAAAAACATAAAAGCAGTTACGTTCAATATACAATTTACAACATCAAACATCAAATACAAACATATATAATAGGGGCAAAAACACACAAGGCAATTCTATGCCATTGATTACACAACACAATTATTATTTGGATCTTACAATAACTCTCTCTCTGTTTTGTTTTTAATTGTGATCTATAACAATTTTATAGTATTTAAATCTCTCCTAATTTCAAAAAGTCATAAACTTTTTTTTTTATATAGCATTTAGGTTGAATCAAAAGCTACATGACCTAGTGAAATGAGCTTAGATGTCGTCTAACATAAAACAATGTGATTCACACCTCTTAATTAGAAGTACTCATTTAAATTTCAATATTTTTTTAAACATCTTATTTATATGCCTTTATTGTTGAATGACTAGTATTCTATATAATTTGTAGTTCAAGGTGTTAATATAAACTATTGTCTTCCACGCATTTGGAAGCACTCAATTACATTTATTATTATTGATACCATCAACACAAATACCTATAATCAAAACTTAATATATGGTGATACAGTCACATAGGATTTCAACGTATACTTTACAACTAATATTTTTTTTTTAACCTAATACCGTCAAATCTTATTTATTTCTAACTTAAAAGTCTCCAAAACAAGTATTTTTTTTCACACCTATTCATTAATTTTCTTATCATAAAGGCCCTATATCTTCCTCTTATCAAGCAATGAGAAAATATTCGATAATATATTTTATCAATATTCATAACAAATTAGTTGTTAGGAAAACAACCAAGGACAAGCTACCATAGAAATTTATATTTGTTACTTCTCTTATGAAGAGTTTAACTATACAACAAATTTCTATAAACATATGTTTACACTCTTATCAATATTAATTTTTAATCAGGTCAATAGTCTTATATTTACATTAAACAATACACAATTCTCATACAATTTTGTTGTTAAATACAATGTAAAACTTAGTTATCAAGATTAATACACATTATTCTTCTTATGTATTGTTTATTTGACATCTCATTCTATTTTTTTTATATTCCTAACTTTGAAATTTACTCATAAAAATATAACATCATCTCCTTCATCTGGCTCAATAATAATAATTTGCCTATATCTAACCTTTTTTTTTATTAACTTAATACTAAAATATATTTATTTATAAATTTAATTAAATACTAGATAAAAATAAGGATGTTACAAAAAGTGGCTTAAGTAATTTTAAAGTTATTTTTTTAGAGCAAAAATGGTGTATTTTTATAGAAAATTCAAGGAAAACTAGTTAGGGATTTATATTTGTGTTGAAAATTTTAGGATAATTATTTTATAAGATAAAGAAGATAATTGAGAACTGAAATCCTTAAAATGAGTTAAGGATTAATTTCTGAAATTAAGGACTGTTTGTTGAAAAATCCAAGAAAAATAGTTGGGAATTGATTTTTGACCCAAAATTTTTATGAAAATCATTTTAGGGTCAATTTCTGGTGTTATTTAAATATGTCAGGCCTTTTCCTTGGTATTTTTGAAAAAAAATAAAAGCCGGCTTTAGAAGTTTTTTTATATTAAAAATTAAGTATTTATTTTACAATTAAATTAGAAGCTATATTTTTTTATAACATCACCTATTCTGTATTTCTGTCACAAATTCTTATTGTTGATATTTTTAATTTATTTTTAAATTTTAAATTTAGTTTAATGACTAAGTTAAAAACTTAAGCATTTCGATTTTCAATCCAAACACCTACATTTTCTTTTTAATTGTTTTTTTTTTGGCAGAGATCAATAGGAGCACACACTTGGTGGAGAAAAAAACACACACGAATGCTACAACACATAAAACAAAATTGTCTAAATTTTGTTTTTTGAAAATTTTTCCTTTAAAAGTTTCTCTTTTCCTTGATTCAATTATCTTGTTCATGCTCACCGACAATTTCAGCTTTAAAATTGTCGGCCGCGAACTCACCGTCGGCTGAAAAAGACACCTTTGATGAAAAGGCAGGGATAGAAATAGTCAGCATGGTATGCCTTCCTAAATCCTTTTTCTGTTTTTTAATATAAAACATATTTAACTAATTTAATTTGATAAAAAAAATTAAGTAAAATAGTTAATTAAAAAATGACATATTTTTCTAAAATATTATAATTATCTTTCTTAATATCTTCTCTTCTTCACATCTAAATCTTCAATACAAATACTGCTGTTGCCAATTCCAAGTAATACGTAGGGTAGTTTTTCTCATGTGGCCTAAATTTTCTGGAGGCATAAGGAAGTATTCATGAAGGTAATTTATAAAAAATTAACAAAAATGATAAATAAATCTTATATTTATGATCAAAAGTAACTTAATAATTGGGTCCTATATATAAAATTTATTTAATTATATACATTTATTGAAAAAATGATTAAATTAATTATTTATTATTAATATAAAAAAATATATTTTTTCCAAAATATTTTTACCAGATCTTTTTCTTAAATATTATTTTTCTACTAAGAGCATTAGATGTGGAAAAACTAAGAAAAATTAAGAAATTAATAAAAATAAGATGAAAAAAAATTAAACCAGGAAAATAAAGTAAATCAAGATGTTTTTTTTTTTTCAGGTTTGGACCAAAAAAATTCTAAAATTTACATTTTCCAAAACGTGCAAACCATGTCCATTAATTGTTTTATGCATGACTTTTAATACACTCATCCTGCATCTATTTTATGGTTATTGTTGTCTGTCGAGTGTTCAAAATGCATAGAAGAAAGCTTTGATCAAGCCAACCTTCATGCTTAGGGGAATTGAATGATGAATGGAGCTTCAGTGTTAATAACTTTTGTTCACTGATTAATGAAGTACTCAGTTTTTTAATGAATACTCCTCTGATCTTATTTATAGGATAGAGAGAAGATATTTTTTAATCATATTTAAGAGCACTAAGAGAAATTTTTTATATGAGTGTACTAATTTACATCTCATTTATTTTTGTGTTGACTTTGTTTATGTATATTAAATATAGATAAAGATGAAAAGTTTTTAAATTTTAAATAAGAGTTAATAAAATTTAAAATTTTCTTGTAAAATATGTTGAAAATAATTTTATAAATAAGATCAGAGGAATGTAAATATATAAAATAATATAGAGACAGTGATGTGTCCTAAAATGTTATGCTTTTTCTCTAAAGCACTGAAACAAAGGGGGGTTGTTTTGGGGAGTGCCAATAATTAGGTTGTCTCCCCTTTTTCCAAAAGCGGATACCCAAGTCAATAATTGAGGAGAATGAATTATTAGGAGAAAGAATGAAATTAAAGGGTTATTTAAAATGATTAAGAAAAAATTATTTATTAGAACTAGCTAGATTCCGTTTGCCTCAAAAGTTATTTGCAAAGAAGGCGAATCACATGTCCACTAATTTAAATTTTAAATTTTTGGAAGAAATGACAAAAATAAATTTATAAATTGTATGTTAAGATTTGGAAATTAAATAAATATTTTTAGTTAAAAATATAAAGACAAATGTATCCAAAGCTGATAATATGGATTGGATCTACTAGCCAACTCACAGAAAAGGAGAGCACCAGTAAACAAGCATTTTGAACCTAAGCTCCCAACTCATTATTATGATTATATATTATATATCAATTTTTAACCTACAAAAGCGTCATCTCTGCAAACTCTCTCCCTCTCTCATTCTGCCAAAAGAAAGAAATAACAAGGGCACCAATGCATAACAACCTGGAAAGATCTCTTCCCACACAACACTTCTCCTGCATTCCACAACTCCATTTTGTCCATGTCAGCAAGCAACCTGGTCACAATCCATATCTTCTTCCCTATCAAATGTCCATATTATCAGATTTCTTGCTGCTGTCGCTCTTGGTTCTCAGATTGGTCAAGCAAGCAGAAGTGAAAAGTTTATTTGATTGATTTTCATCAAAATTTGGTCTGCTGTTTATGGTGACGATAAAAAAATTACAACAGTTGACTTAGCGTCATCGACTTGGGAAGAAATCCTTAAAGATAGAGATGCCAACGAGAAACATTGATTACTTGAAGGTCTTCCTCTGACTTTGGCGGAATGAGAGGGGGGGTGGGGGGAAGCGTTTGCAGAGACGACGCTGTATTTTTTAGCCGGATGGGGTCACTAGAAAAAGACTGAAACGACGCCGTTTGCGGAAGTGGAGGGAAATGGATCAGAACAGAAATGAAGACATCCTTTGCCGCTCGCCGGCACCATACTACCTCTGGTCTTAATTATAAGGGTTAGTTAACTAATTTAAGGAGATTAAGGAAAGAAGTTAAGTTAGTTATTTGTAATAAATATGTGTTATCTTTCCTAAAATATCCTTACTAATCAAATGTGAGACAAAATAAATTTGGGTCTTATATTTAGGACAAAAAAATATCAAACGAGATATCATATTAAGAACTAGTAGTATATCTCATAGATTTGCGTTAATTTACTCACAGGCCATTGCTGCTCTTTACAAGCCTACACTGAAGCCAAGTACTGTCATATTTATTCTATCCAGAGTGGGTTGCGTCACATTTTATTCCCATGAATTAATTGATTCTGGGGACCTCTTGGTCAAAGAAAAAGTATCCATAATCTTTACTCAATCTTTTTGAAAATATATTATTACGTTCACCTGCTTAACACCCAATTCACTGTTGACATGTTAATTAGGGAGTTATATGAAAATGCTTGGACTAAAAATTAGCTCAATGCAATGAATTGAAGCTAAGATTAGTGAAGATATTCTGGCTGGGATGATGTAGATGGATGTGCCATTCTTTGCTATTAGTAGGATTATGTAAGAGTACTTGATCAAGGGAAATCAGAGACTATGGAGACATGTCAATGGGAGTTATGTCTGGCAAGTACTTTACCATACCCTCCAACCCCTACAATGAAAATATCATCGAAGTTACTTGTAGTTAGTTACTTGTGGCTGCTCTTATTTCATCTATAGAAAAGTAGCGACACAAATCCGACGGTAATGATGATGACCCACGGGGTTTGTTTTTCTTGGACGAGTCAACTGATTTTTGTCCCCACCATGAAGAACCTTCCTTGACCGGAGCTCTAATGAATTGCCGGAAAATGAGCAGAACAACAAGAGACAACACGATGAAACCTGATGTTGCCCCGACGACAATGGGAATTGCCTTTACTGTGTTTCTGTTCTTCAATGTCTTGAAGGATGTTAGGGGGGCAGGTAGAGGTGGATCAGGATTAGGACCCGCAAGATTATCATTGTAGTCACTTATTTTCAAAATTTCAATACCATTCAATAAAACATCCCTGTAAGTGCTTCTTGCAGTTGGGTGTGGTTGCAACTTAATTGAAAGATTGAGCTTCTTCAAGCTTCCCTTGCCCTGCATCGACGCTGCATAGTCCCTATGAGCAGGAACATTTCTCTGACTCTGAGTCCACAACATTACATCGGCGACAGACTCCACCAAAGCGTCATTTATGAAGATTTGGAAAACTCTGTCTCCAACTTTTTCAATGTGTTCATCAAACTCGCAAAAATGCAATCTCACCATATAAAAAAACTCTGAGTCAACTTCAAATTCCCAAGTCACATTAAATTTGGACGTTTCTTTCATCCCATAATTTCTAGCAGTCATGTATACTTCATCAGGTGCAAAATAATTTTGATCATCTCTGTAAACTGGATGTAAACCAAAACCTGCTGAAATACTTAGCGGTCGTTGCCTCTCCAAGTAGTCATTATCCTGGTCCCAATAACGATACATGCCTGTGTCTTTATCGGAAGGAATCTGACGTCCGCCAGCATTAGCTCTGTACAGAGTCTCCAGAGCACTGCTGTTCTGGACCGGAAACTGCATGTTTCCATCACTTAGCCGCATAGATTGTTGGTCATCAGGCTTGGTGTAGTACAGAAAGGGGGGCATAGAGATGATCTCAATCCCGTTGACGAAAGCGTAGGCGTTTGGATAAGATTCGTTGGGCGTGAAGGTTATGTTCAGCCTCCGACCTGAGTCAACGTTGACACAGTACTCCCGTACGATGGCTCCTTGTTCTCCGGCAGCATGTTTAAGATAAGCGCTGGGGCCGGAGCCGAAGCCGGCGTTGGCGTCGGCGTTAAGTGAAGCGTTGAAGTTCTTGAGGAGGATGTGGGGCCCTGCTTTGACGGAGAAAAAAGCATCGGAGCGCGGGAAGTTCGGGTTGTAGGAAGATGGATAAAAGTAGAGGCGAATAAACTTTTGGCCGTCCGTCTTCACAGGAAACAAGTAGGAGAATTCGGAGCGAGAGAAGCGTGCGATGTTGTAAGGGATCGGTTTGCCATCTGCGTTGTCGCCTACTGATGACTTATTGCTGTTGGAGAGTTCGATCAGAGAGAATAGACCGGAATCTATGTCTCCGGTCCAGTTCCGGCCATCTGGAGAAGAGAAATTGCCGGAACCACCGCAGTTGACTGAGAAATGATCAACAGGATTGTAGGAGGCGACAGTGGAAAGGAGATGGAAGAAAAAGAATAACTGGAAGGTAGTGACGATTGTGGGCGGGTTAGTCACCCTGGACACAGCGGTTTGTCTCTCTCTCATCACTGACTTTGTTTATCTATTCTTTTCAGTTTTTCTTGGGATTTAAGGAGTTAAACCCACTTGATGAAATAGACTCGATTTCCTGGAAAGAGATGCTATTTTATTCACCCAGGCAAGCAATGAGTTACACGGCGGCTTTGACTTTTCAAACCCACTTGCCTCGTCACTTCCAACTCAAACTACCTCGCACGCCAAAACATAACACACGCGCGCACGCACAATATATCTCATAGATTTGCGTTAATTGACTCATAGACCATTTCTACTCTCTACAAGCCTACGCCGAAGCCAAGTACTATCATATTTATTCTATCCAAAGTGGGTTGCATCACATTTTGTTCCCATGAATTAATTGATTCTGGGGGGCATCTTGGTCAAAGCAAAAGTATCCACACAATTCCTGAAAAATCTTTACTCAACTATTTTGAAAATATATTATTACCTTCTCCTGTTTAACATCCAACTCACTGTTGAGATGTTAATTAGGGAGTTATATGAAAATGCTTGGACTAAAAATTAGCTCAATGCAATGAATTGAAGCTAAGATTAGTGAAGATATTCTGGCTGGGATGATGTAGATGGATGTGCCATTCTTTGCTATTAGTAGGATTATGTTAGAGTACTTGATCAAGGGAAATCAGAGACCATGGAGACATATCAATGGGAGCTATGTCTGGCAAGTGCTTTACCATATAAGGTGGTAATATATAAATTCTGCATTAAAAAAGTGCTTGATTTCATTGAATAAAAATTCTCTCCAATGAAAAAAAAAAACTTGTAAGAAAATTGTCTCAACGACAAAGAGCTCGAAAAAACACAATGCCACCAGTGATGTTTATGACTAGTGTCTGGAGGCTGACTTCTTGGTGCCCAGAAATAAACGTTACATGAAAGTCTTTTGATCACACAATGTATTTCCAGAGCGTGTTGTGTTTAGTGGGTGTATGATTAATGTGTATGCTTATTAATCATGTACATTGAAATTACTTTTCAAGAAAACTCCTTAGCCTAGGAATTACTTGAACGCAAAATAAATAAATATTAGAAACAAAATATATTAAAATATTATCCTACCACTAGTTCTTAATATATGAATTAGCTGACTAATTTGAGTAAATTGAGAAAATTAGTTAAATTAATTATTTCTAATAGATAGATGTTGTTTTTCGAAAATACCTTACTAATCAAGTATCATTTAATGAAACATTTAAGATGTGCAATTACTACAGGATTACCTTGGAAAAAATAGATAAATATGAGAGACAAAATAGATTGGGGTCTTATATTTAGAACCAAATTAAAGTCAAACTGACTTTTATATTAAGGGCCGAAAGTAACATTTAAGATCATGTTAAATCTCTAACTAACTTTATATTAAAAATCAGGTAGCATTTTTTGCAATTTCAATTTTCAACTGTTTGATTTTGCATATAACTAGAGGAGTTTTGGGCATCCCAAAATGTTCTATTGGTTCCACTGTTAAATGTCATCTTGTTATTATACTACCTCCGGTCCTAATTATAAGACCCAGTTAACTTATTTGAGGAGATTAAGGAAGCAAGTTAAGTTATTTATTTGTAATAAAAAATGTTTGTCATTCTTAAAATATCCTTACTAATTAAGTATATTGGCTAGAACTATTATTATTAGAAGGATTATCTTGGAAAAAAATGCATAAATATGAGAGACAAAATGGATTGAGGTCTTATAATTAGGACCAAACAAAAAATCAAACGGGGTCTTATAATAAGGACCGAAGGTAGTAGTCTAATAAGGGCATCAAGCTACTTGCAAAAAGTAATCATTTGAATGTGATTAACAAAAACGATAAGATCTTAAAGGATAACAAGCATTTGAAGAAGCACCTTAGGACTCGACGATGGAACATCAAGATCTGGGGGAGGCAACCTCTCCCCTCTTCTCTCCCCTTCTTTCCTCCTCTAACAATTCAGATTAATAATTTAACATTTTAATAATAATTTTAAAACTAAAGGGTTAAGATGTGTCCGGTTCAACGTTCTAAAATATTTTGTAGGTGACTCGTTGGGCTATATAATTCAGTTTCAAAAAATTATGAGAAACAACACTCTAAAATCCCTATATTTTGCTCTTTTCCAGTTTTACCCTCATTTCATGTCATAATATTCTAAATCTGAACTGTTTTAATTTAATATGCCCTCCATCTAAAGGGACTACATTGGAAATAGACAATAATTATATTCACGGAAAAATAAAAATTAATCCTAATTAAAACGGAACAAGTATGAGATCAAACCTAATCATATAATCAAGAATAAATGCGGGCTCTCACGCGGGAGAGAATATAACGCACTCATATAGAAGAGAGAATTATAGATCAGTCAAGGATAAAGAAATTTATTATGAGACTTCATTGAATGGTCCCAAAAAGTTTAGAACTAAGGATGAAACTGACCAGTCAAAGCAAACATAGGGAGACTGAAATTTATTCCATTCCACTAGGAATTCATATCATTAGGCGATATAGACCCACATATACACAAGAAGAAAGGAAACCATAAGTCCTTCACATCACATTCAAATTTGAAATCACTAATCAACCATATCAGAAGAAGCTAAGCAATTTCTCAGCAGCCTGATCGTTTGTAAGTACCTCATCGTTCTTTCTTACCATTTACACTTGGTGGTGGAAGGCAGCTTGTGCTTATGTATCTGGTACCTAAAGGACAAGGCACAGCAGGCTTATTGTTGTTACCTGTATTCCAGTCTTAAACTTTGAAGCATCCAAAGCATTCTGCCTACATGAGAATTCATCAGCAACCCATTGACGTCGTCAATGTCGTCCTCTTCGATAAGGCAGTCGGCTAAGCCGCCTCGGCAGGTGGTGATGATGAAGCTGTTGTTAACGTTCTCTGAAGTTGCCATGCTCAGATCTGCAAGAACTAGTAAGGCCATCCACATGAGGAAGATTAGTGAGAGTACCTTCTTCATTGGCTGCTCAAGAGTGTTATCTGAACAATATCTTGCTTATTCGAAAAGAACATCGGTTTTTGTTATCTAGGCAATTCTACTCTATCTTGTCTTCGAAGGCATTTTTGTCAAATGCTATCAATAGGAAAGTAAATTACCTAAATGCTACATGATGAAAAAAAGCATCTACCCCTGCATTTTTTGAAATTCGCTGTCAATGAGCTCCAGCCTGACGTCTATTTTTAAGATAAAAGTGAGACTCGTTCACCGACATCCCACTTTTTCGTTTTGGCAACTATTATAGCGAATGACCCATTCCTACAATTCTCTAGCACACTCCAATCCTTCTGAATTTTGGAGCAATTTCAACCCACGACCCCATTACTTCACATCTCCTCCCCTTTTTTAATTCTTTGTTTCCATTTAGATAGAAGGGATATGAATAAATTTTACATTAAAAAAAATTACCTTTTATTCTTGTACTTAAATTTAGAAAAATATATATAAATAAATAATATAAATATAAAATATTTATAAGTCATATATTAATATATCCAAAATTTCACCTATTTAATTATAAAATACATACTTTTCAATTTCTATTTTTATCATCATTACTCAACAATATTAAAATCAAGGGTATTATCGTGAAAAAAAAAACTTAACCTCTTCGTAGGTTTCATGAAATAGCTTCTAATGAATAAAAATATTAAAAATTTTAAGTGCACAAAATTTCTTAAAATAATCTGATAAATAAACACTAAATTTTCTTATTTCATTGAATCGCGGCAGGAAAAAGCTGAAATGGGTCATTCATTGGAAATGTTTCCGAGATGAGACAAATGGGATGAAGGAGTTTGGCCTTTTTATCTTAAAAATTAGATGTCAGGCTATAACTCGTTTATAGCCTGAATGAGTTTCAAAAAATACGTATCTGAGTAAATACTTTTCATCGTATAACATTTGGGGTAATTGTGTTGTTGTTTATTGATGACGTTTTGACAAAAAAAATGCCGTCTTCAAATATAATATGTATAAATGAAAATGATCTAAAATTAAATTTGTAAGTAAATATCTCATTTCCATTACATGCGTTAGCTTTAGTCACTTTCAATGTTGGCCCAGTTCAATCATGCATGTGCAGATAGTACAGCTCTATGCTCCAAGTAGGCTGGGGTCCTGGCACAGTGCAGGTCGGTCCTATATCTTTTAATCATTAGTGCGTCTGATGTTGGCTGTCACGTCATTACTGGAAAAAATTCTTTTTATATAGTTTAATTACATCCTTGGTCGCAACAACAGTGTAAAAAAAAATGTGACCCACATTTTTATAAATATGATGGATTTTCAAATTGATTTTGCATATACAACCGATGTGAAAAAATATACTTTTACATTAGTTATTTGTGTTACTGGTATACAAAGTATTAAAAATAATTTTTTTAGAAAATAATATTTACAGGTTTTTAGACTGATTTTATACAATCAGTCTAAAATATACTTTCTAAACTAGATATTTATTACAATTGATATAAAAAGTTTTAAAAATATTTTGTTTAAAAAAATATATTACAAACTTTTAAAAGATGATTTAAAACCCAAAGATTTAACCTATTTTTTATTTTATGGTTGTCTCTCTAAATTAAATTTCATTCTCTTGTAATATCTTTAGGTTTTTAACAATCTCCTTTCTATACTTTATTCATCAGTAATATCAATGCCAGTCCCGTTTTTCATACTCTTATTCTTTGTGTCGTGGCATCTTTTTTGTGCTCCTCTCCTTTACAACGCATTATCTCTTCCATACTCGTCATCATCTTCAAGTTCATTGACTTCTCCATAATCATCAGCTAGAGATTCATGCTCACACCATCCAAATCTGTGCTTGTTTATCAAGATCTGTACTCATGGTGTCAAGATTTGTGCTCTCCACATCCAAAAAATCTGTACTATTTCAAGTTCTCATTGTGTTGTCATCCAAATGTTTATATTTGCATAGATCTTTATTTGTGTTAATCACCGTCATATTTGTTTTAAATTTATACTTTTTC